GCGCGAAAGATTCGATCGTGATTGACGATGGTTTACTCCTCGCGGCCGTGATGCTTAATTGCAAGCCTTTTCTGGAAGAAGCTACCTGCTTTCCTGCACAGACGCGCATGCACGCCCCGACATTTGATTGATCAACGATTCTGATTGATGCATTCTGCTGGGCATCGACCTTCACAGCACAGCCGCACGCACCCAGCATGAGTCACGAGGTGGCCATGCAGCCATCAGTCACAACTTGGCCAAACCCAAAGCGGCGCTGCAGTCACGCGGGATGGTGGCCGCGGATGCCAACACGAATCGGCCCGCCGTGAGACAAAAATGCAAGAAAGCGCGTGCGCGAGCTCGAGCTCGACGAGCCTCGCACGCAGCGCGTTTCGCTAGCAGCACGCAGCGCGTTGACGGCGTGAGCGCTCACGCGGCCGCGCGACGAGCAGGCATTGCCTTGCGCCACATGCAGCCCAACGCCCATGCAACCTCGCCCTCGTAACCTTGGCCTCGAGGGTCATGAGTCAACAGCAGCTGTGAATGGGGTTTGGCAGATGTGCTTCTAGATCATTCCGCTCGGGGGTTGGCCTGACGCATGGATGCATATGGTGGAGCTGCTGCTCACGACGCACGACGCACGACTCACGCTCTTCTAACTGCAACTGCGGGATGTCTGCGCGTGCAATCACACACTACTACACTCTTGAAGCGCAGGCCAAGACCTGAATCGCCTTTTCCAGCCTTTGGCTTCACTTGATTGGCTGCGCTTCAAAGTTGGAGGGACTACTACCGTACTGAATGGCGTGCAAGCGGCTCGGGGAATGAGGTCTACGGACCTCTGACTGGCAAGTCTCAGAGCTTCACGATTGGAGGACAGAAAGTGCTGGCGGGTCGGGGGGGCCGCTGTCATGTCTACGGACGCCGCACGCCTGCAAGACTTGTTCGAGTGGGCCAAATCTAAGCATATTTGGACGCACGACGGCATAGCGATCAAAACCTTTCTCACGCCGGGCAATGAGTCATCAGATACGCATTCGAACAGCACACGTGCCGATGAAGGAGGCCATGCAGGCTTCGGGGTGTATGCGGTCGAGAGGCACCAAGGGACAACGGACGCAGCACAGCACGCAACGGATGACAATGACATCGACATCCGTGTGTGGCCACGCCAAGTTGGTGAGTGCAGCGGAGCACGCTTGGCTCTGTACCTCTGTATGCTAGACTGAAGCTATGCCGATATGGGGCGACAGTGGTCCTCACGCCCAAGTCGGCCATCTTAAGCCCACGTAATTCTAGTTTGGCCAAGCATATTCCCTCAGAAAACTTTTTCAACTCCGACTCCTCTGCCGGACTGCTGCTGAGCCTTGTACTCCTACACGAGTACCTACTCGGAGGAGAGAGCGACTGGTCTGGCTATTTAGGAAGCTTGCCCCATGGTATGGCCTTTCCATCCTCGCCCTGCTCAAGCGCAACCCATGCGCAAGGGGCTGCAAGCCTCAGAAAGCCGGAATCTTCCTCCGATTCGGAAGATTGGGGTGTGCCGATACCTCTGCTATGGCCCAAAGAGTCGGAAGAATGGAGCTGGATACGCAACACCGAGGCTGGTCGTATTGTAGAGCGCGTCTCCAAAGATCCTGCCGGCAGCCTAGAAGGCATGGGAATGAGCCTCGTGAGTGAATTGTGCGTCCAAATTTTGCCAGCTCCAGTGAGGCGCGTCTCACGTCTTGCATGATCACCCCCTCTCAGAAGCGACTGGATGGCTATTTTCAAAGCCAGGTGCTTCCGACACTCCAAGCAGCCCGTCCTGGTTACATGAAACGCGCGGAGGACCATTTGCTGCGCAGCTTCCGGCGAGCGTACAGCATCGTCTCCTCTCGCGCTTTTGTGGTAGATATGTGGCATGGGTAAGCATCAGTCGCCTGTATAGCGATTACCAGGGCAAGCTGACCACAAGTTTCTTGAATTGCACGCAGCTTAGCCCTGGTTCCCTTGGCTGATATGTGAGTGCGGTGCATTGCACCAGCCAAACGATCACATACATGCAGTGACCTGAGATGTCACTCGCCTTACCTCCAGGTTCAATCATTCGTCCGACCCCAACATGCAATTCGAAGCGGACGACGAGGTCTGCGATCAGTGCGGAGCTTTGGGAAAATGCCCTCACAGCGAAGACCCGCTACCAGGCTCAGCATATGGTAGGCCGTCAGCGTTCATGCCAGCATCACACGGGCCCAACTCTGTCGACTGGGTTCCCCCGCTTCCAATCTTAGCTCAGATTGGAGCGGACACAGTAGATATGGTGGCAACCTCTGCCATACTGAAGAACGAAGAGTGCCTCAACTCATATGGCCTGCTCAGCAACGCGAGTCTGCTAGCTGCTTATGGCTTTGTTCTGGCGGAAGAGACGGAATTTGAAAGGATCGGATGGGATTGGCGCGTGTCGGACGAGCGACGGGAGCTTGTGACCAGCCTGCAGCTGGGAACGGCACCTGGAGCTCTTGATCTGGATTTGCGATATACAGAGAACTCGGCAGACGATGCTCAGAGGTCCAACAAGCGCACAAGATTGTCGGATGCTGAGGCGAACAAAGGTGCCTCGAACGTGCAAAGGAGTCTTGCAAAATCGATCAACACATCAGGCGCACCCTCGGTACCACAGAGTTTTGCAATTCGCCAGAAGTTCGTTCGCACATGCGTGCATGCTTTGAACCTCCGGGTTGAAGAAGCATGGCATGGAGTGCAGGAGCTGCTGAATGATCCGTCCGAGGGTGGGATCATGGCACCGGCAGCAACTCCAAGATTCCCCGAGCAAGCGACGCTGAGCTTGCCCGTAGACTCTCCGTTCAGGCTTTTGGCGCACGTGCAGCCTCCCGAAAGCAGGCCATCGATTACCGATCCCGAACACTTGGGCGGCATCAGGTCCAGCGCAATTGCAGAGGGTCTGGAATCCTTCTTGGCCCCTTTGTCGGGCCACGAAGGCACTTCCGACTTGCGGCAGCCCTTCTTCGTGGACGGTGAAGGTCGCGTTTCCGTGGTGCTTTGGCGGGCTGCACTTCTCGCTCAGCTCTCTGCAGAGATGACGGCGAATCTTGCAAACACGACGGAGCCATTACAGCAAGGACTCGTCATCAGACGTGGAATTTTCGACGCCGAATCAGCTCTAGCTACATTCTTGGCAGAGGATGAATCGCAAGAAGGGGTCTTGCGAACTGTGGCAACGCGAGATGCCGAGCGTGTCGAGCGCACCGTGCAAGCTTTGCAGACACTTGTCACGTCTCGTTTGGCCGGTCTGCGAATTTCTCGCCCGGAAGAGGAAAGAAAAGCCCTTGCCATTATAGATGTGAGGACGTCGCCGACGAAAACTAGCCCCACACACCTGCTGAATAGCCGATGAAAACTTGCCTTTGCAGAAACCCAATGCCTCGCCGCTCAAGTTCGCTGCGCTGCATGCTTTCCAGGAGCTTGCGGCTCTGCGAGCATGCTTGGAGAGGCTGGAAAGCGTGTCACACAAGCTCCCATGAATATTTGCTCAGCAAGCCCTCCAATCGCCCTCGCTTTCGCAATCTGATGGTTCACAGAATTGTAAAATATGCAATTGCTCTGGGAGATTCATTGCGTATGTTGTGACGTCGTGCCATCATACCATGAAGTGGATGGTTGATGCGAGCGAGTGCTGGATGAAGGTGACAATATAATGTTGAACAAGAGTAGGGACGGCTGCCTGGAAGCAAATCATGAAAACGTGAATGGAGCTTCGCCACTGCACAATAAGCGGTGAGGACCTTGGCGTGGGGTAAGGAAGAGGCAAACTTGCCGCACTCAAATGGCAAGGTGCAACTTGGTCGCTACGGGCAGAAAAGCCCAGACGGTGCCCGTGACGGCGAGCACGAGGGAAATTGCAAGGATAAAGATATCCAAGGTGATCCGTCTGCGAGACATGCTCGAAAAATTCACTTTCATGTCTGTGTGCGAAAGCAGGATACGTAGATCAAGTCAGTGTGAACACCCGGCAATCAGTGACTCCTCGTTCTGCAAAGACCACTCACTTGCCAGCACGGGTCCAAAGACACAGGTAGAGAAAGCCAAAAAGGCGCCAAGAAAAGCCATGACTTTTTCGAAGCCTGGAAGCAAGATGGCGGTCAGGCCGACAAGGAGAGCTACACCCACCCTGAGGCTTGCCCTCAGCAAGGCACGGGTACGAGGAGTCCATGTCGAAGTGGTCCTAGCAGCTCGAAGACTTATCGCGCTACCAGCGAGAGGATTGTCGGAGCTCAGATTCGGTAGGGTGGTCCCCGTCTCTGGATCCGCAATGGGAGTGATGGACCCCGAGTCAGGGTCTTCCGCAGCTGGGTTTGCACCCAAACTCGTAGCCTTTGCAGCAGCGGGAGGCTCCGCTTTGCTAAGGTCGAGGCGGGGCTCGATATCGTCTCCGCCAAGGCCAAATTGCGAATGGGCACCCAAACCTGCCCTACCGCGCTCACTGTCCAGCTTCGCAACAGAAGCCCGGCGCCTGTTGATGCCGGAGGGGCTCTTGAACGGCAGACATAGGCTTTGCTCCACGCCAGCCAGTAACTCGACAGTGGTGTTGAGGGGGCGGACAGCGAGAGCGAATTTCGAGAGCGCGGAGACTACCATCATCCATATGGCTATTTTATTGAGAACGCGCGGGTAGCCCGCTGTGCGAGATAAGTCTTGAGTGATCTGGAATTTGAGATGATAGGCAAACGTGGTCAAAAGCGTCAGCATGACAACCGATGCAGGCAAGTGTCACTAGCATGCCTCACCTCCGAGCTGACTTCGTGGCCAAAAAGGAGGTACTGATAGAGCGCAGCGAGATGAGCTTGGTGAGCTTGCCTGGCCCGCAGATGGTCGTGACAACAGAGACGCATTCATGCTCACTCCGACAATGCCCATCGCCAGGTAGATCAGGGTGGCAGCAATGTAAGCCAAGTCGAGCATTTTGCCAAACACGGCAGGGTCCTTCATGTCTTTGCTGATGGAGGGTATGATGGGATGGGCTGAAAAGCCGCTCATGATCAGTCCAAAGCTGAGAGGCAGTCTGGACCACTCTGGCCACAGAGAGGTGACTGCTGGGTCCCACAAAGAACCAGGTCTCTCCTTCTTGATGAGTCCGTCCGAGAGAACAACAGCAAAGAGAGCTGAAGGGAATATACCGGGAAGAGCATCAGCAAAAGGATAGGGTGAAGTAACCTTTCAAATGGTCGTGCCCATCATCATACTTACTCAAAATGCTGACAATGCCAACAACGCTGATCGGGCTCAACAAGCGTAGAGGAAGAAAGACGGTAGGCAAAGCAATGACCAAGCCTAGCGCTTTGAATGCAGTGGGTGACCAAGTTGAAATCCCGCCAAGCGTGTACAGCAGCTCGGCGTTCGCAGCTGGACTATCAATCCTGTAGCCTTTCGCTGAGGCCTGTACGAGCGCATATGTGCTATCGCCGAAAAGGATTACGAGAGCTGAAGGTCGCATGAAGGTCAGTCGACTGACCATAGCCTCTTCCCACATTCGCAACCAATTCCAAGAGGACAACCACTCACCGGTGCCAACGGCCCACAGCTCCAGGCAAAAGAAGCCGCTGACCCAGACTCGAGCGCTGGGACCAAATGCATACGCTCCGATGTCTGCATACGTCCGGAGCGACACATCCCGACTCATGATGTTTGCCAGAATCTTTCCGGTGTAATTGGTCAGTAGACCGCAGAGCAAAAACAAGATGATACCGGGAATCCATCCCGCATACGAAAGCGCAAGTGGAAGCGCTCTGCATCAGACGCATCATGTACGTTCCTTCAGTTTTCAAGTCTGGTGCTAGCAAATACAAGGAGCGCCACACTCACAGAATACCAATACCAACCAGCGCATTGACAGTGTTGAACCAGGACTGCCAAAATGTTGACGATCCCGCATTTTCCTGAAAAGACCGATGCGAAAGACCACTGGCCGTTTTGCTAGCATAGCTCGTCCTTCTCGCACCGCTAGCCGAGAGTGCCGAGCTTTTCCGGCGCGGTATGGACTCTGTCGGGCTGGTGCTCAGTAGGGGCGTGGACTCTGTATGCTGGGCCTGAGCACTCCTGCTTTGTGCTCCTCTCATGCCAGCACCTCTGCCGTTCTGAAGCTCGCTACCGCTGCTCATCTCCGCTTCGGTAAACTGGCTCGAGTCGCTGTTCCTGAAGCGACTGGATCCGCCGCCCACCCTGCCACGTCTTTGAGGTGCGCTTGCTTCGATGCGCTTGGGACTACGACTTCTGCTCCGACTTCTTTCCTCGTCCTCGTCTTCTTCCCTAGCCAAGCTGCTCAACCTCCAATTCCTGGCATGCCTGGCCGCGGGACCCTCGATGGGAGTTGCACTGCGCCGTCTACCCACCGCGTTGGGTGGTAGTGGTTCTTCCCATTCCATCTGTCCGGGCAGGGTGACTCCTACATCGTTAGAGAACTCCCCTTCTAGACCATCTTCATCTTCCAGCTCTTCTTCATAGTCGGAGTAGGTCTCGTCTCCCGTGTCAGATGCCAATTCGGAAGAATCTTGGCCTTCGGTACCCAGGGCTGGTCCTGCCCACCGCCGGTCGACGAAGGATGGCTCAGTAGCGATGTTGTCCCCAAAGAAAGCCTGCGAGCGCGAATATGACCACACTAGGTCTCTACAGCGATGGCCGAGAAAGAAAAGCAGCGAGGGTAAGCTCAGGCCGCTTAACGTTCCACATTTACATGCACCGCGTCAGACTCACAAGCTGCTCCTCCAAGGTGCGCCAGCATTGGCAGCGTTCTCGCGCTGCTGTTGCTGTTGCTGCTGTTGGGTGGTGCGAGGCACAACCCTTCTAGGAGCAGTGGGATGAGGGGAAGGCCTCGTGGATCCTGACGCATTGACATTGGACGCTGGTCCACCTGATCTACCGCCGGGCCCTCCTTGAGCGCCGGAAGGTCCTGCCGATACCCGTCCTCGATTGGACGAGCTGCCTTGAGCACCTCCAGCTTGCGCCGAAAGACGCGCTGACATTGCGTTGATTGAGAGCGGATGCGGATCGAAGCTCGGCAGCCCGAGGTCGAGAGATTTGGAGGTTGGAGGTACCCGCTGATGATGAGCCCAAGTAGAGGTGGTGGGAGTTGCACTTTGCGCACTTATTGCGCGCAGAGTGAAGCGATAAGCGGAGTGGCTTCTCTCCTCGCAGTCTTGGGTGCAACGCGCACTCAGACTGGTGCGTAGCCAAAAGAGGCGAAGCTCGAGACGGCGCCCGAGACGTGGTTGGTGTAGCTCCTTGAAGCAGATGCTTTACACGTTGACCTGCAGCCGTGACACCTGCACAGCCGCTGTAAGATCATCGACAGAACAGATAGGACAGAGAAAGAAAGCAAAATTGGCTGGAGAGACGGTTCAAAGTCATGATTTTGGAGATGATGATGCATATGCATCGTCTACCAGCAGGCCGCCTCGTGACCCGTGACTGAGGAGAACTGCTGCTGCTGCTGCGTGCGAAAAAGCGTGCAAC